TTAGCTGACATGGCCCAGAGAGAACAAATATGGAGGCCACACATTTCTGACTTGGCTTCTAACTCTGGTTTGAACATTGGCTGAGTCGATGACCATGAGCTAGGTGTACTCCTTGTCTGAAAATAAAACTTTTCAATTGTACATATAGTACAAAATATTTTTACTGCAATGATTAAACAAAACGGTTATTTCATTTTAGCACATCAATCATTTTATTTATTTTGTAGAGAAAGCAATATTGTCAATTGCAAATACAAATAGTGGTAAATGAAATCAAAATTTCTTAATGTCCCTTAATAACTACAGTATACAATTCAATTTCTCCAGCTCCTTGGAAAGTAAGAACATTCCATCATTTTGATCGCATTGGGAATATCACATATTTAACGTTTTTACAGATTATGAATATCCTCAAATTGATAGGGTCCATGCAAGAGTGTATCAATAAGAATCGTCAATAGTTTCACCATGAATCATAGTAACAGAAGTACGAATGCCTTTTTCCCTCACAAAGGTTATTAAGAAAGTATTCAATCGCCTCCTTTTTTTCACATCTAGTTGCATCCCTGCATTTCAGAATTCTGCAAACTGGCCCTGGGAAAAAAAAAAGAAGACGGGTCTAAAAATAATAGCATTTAAGATTGTACTCACTTAGATTTATCAAATAAAAAAAAGACATGCAACACAAACAAAATTTTGAATATAGGTGACATGTCTCCTAACAACTTTGGGATTACGCACAATCATCACAGCACAATTATGGCAAATTATTACATTTATTATGCATTAGAAGTGTGAAGTGAATGCGAATGAGAAGATCTAATTTTAATTACGATAAAGTATTTTTACTGGGCTTCAGCGTTCGATTTACCCAGTATCGCATCGCAAAATGTGACATGTTTTACGCTAATTGCGAAGCACTTCCACAATTGCATCACAGATAAATGCAACGCAATTATTTGCCTAGAATTAACCACTCGGTCTTCAGCAAGGCCTGGCTGTAAAAATTAAGAGGCTTAGTGCACAAAAAATTTCAAAGAGGTTAAATTACAGAATTACAACTAATGTAAAACAAGAAACTTTTGTGACATCCAGACGGAGGTGAAAATAAATATACAATTTTATTGGTGAATGTAAAGTAGGATGGTTAAATATCTAAAATTTATATAAATATGTATATCTTTGGAGATTTCAAGGCAGTGGAGGGCAAATTAAAATTTTAAAAAACTAATTTTTTACTGCAATTTCCTTTTTTTTTGTGGTGGTGGGTGCGCTAATTGCTCAAAAATAAAATTTTATTTTTATTTAAAAAATATCAATATTTGCAGAAGGCGGGTTCGATAAACAAGGTATAAAAAAGTCTTGCCCGAACATTTGGTTTTTAGAATCTATTAACTTACCGATTTTGACAATCTTGAGCTTTCGAAACCTCTTACTACTTTTTGATCCAGTTCAGATGAAGTCAGGAAACAAAGTTATTCAGGATAGATTTAAATGTTGTTAAACAAGTTTCAAGGCTTGAAAATACTGTAAAATATAACATAAATATGTTAAGTGAATTACAATGTAAATAAAACAAACGATTATATGAGGCATGTTGTGGCAAAATGGCTAAGTTGTAGCAAAAATTGAAATTCAAGTTATTGGTATTTTCAGATACCTGATTATGTGATCTTTAAAATGAGGGGTCAGTCATTGAAATTGGACATTTTAAGCCTAAGTTATTGGAAAGTGAAAGTACAGCACTCTTAGAGTCAAGATAAACATGGTTTTGAGTAATTGCCTTCCAAAGTTATTAGTGGATACCTTGTTCAATAGAATTAACTATCAAAATAACATTAAATAAACAATTTGTTGACCACTTCCAGAAATAATACTTTGGGATAAGATTAATAAGACATTAAACTGTTGATCTATAGTGAAAAACAAAATTGGATTTTTAGTCATTTTTTTTAGCTCCCAAATTTTATAGCTCATTTACTCAATACTGGCCTGTGCGACAACTTAACCATTTTGCCACAACATGCCTCATATAATAGCACCAAATTCCATCACATGAAGTAGTTGATGTATTTTGTAATTTTTGTTCTGTGATAAGTTTAAATGAGATGTGTTGTGCAAGTTTAAATAATGTAGTCTGTTAAGGTGACTCTTAGGCTGCACATCACAAATTCAGCACACTACTGTACAGGTACACAAACAGTTATTCAAACTGTGTTAATTACTTAGTTAAATATATTAATGAAAGTAGGTTTATCAAATCCAATTAAAAAAAAAATAAAAGAAAATAAAGTAAAAACAAAAAAATAACAAACATTATGCTTTAATTAAAAATGTCATTAGCATAAGACAACAATGTAGTATTTTGTTTACTATTATATCATGGAATTATGAAATCTAATTTTACGCGCACATCATCTAATCCTTACCATTGACCAACTTGTGACTATAAATATATATTGAATTATAGGATGATACTCTTATTAATAGTACTCAACACATCCTTAATAAAATCATATTTAAGACAATCAAAGTGTTTAATACTGTAAAACCAGCTAAACTTTCATGTGCAAAAAAATTTCACAAATACTGTACCATACAGAATTTATTAATATCGTATGTTAATGAGGATTGTAATTATCATGTAATTATTAGCTGTGTCTGGCCAGCTAAACCATAGCAGATAGGCAGATTTATGCCTGGGAGATGTGTATCCCCCAAGTTCGGCATGGCACTAATTAATTTATAATTTTGTTTTTTATTTTTTTATTAAACGTAATTTAACTTTCTACAATAGCACAGTATGTAGTTTAATCACTAAATAAATTATTACGGTAAATCAAGTGTTAAATTTTCAAATAAAAGTGATACTGTATTATGAGCTGGAAATGTTATGTTCACCTTACTCAATCATTTGTTGAGTTCTGTATCCATACTTCGTAGACACATGCACATCATTGCCAATGTTGCTTTGTTAGTGATCAGACTACTTGGACAAATATGTTTGAATAAAACATTTAAAATATTTGTTTTGTCTTACCAGGGAGAAGTATTTTATGTATGTTTTACATCTCCCTGGTTTCACTTTTTTCGTAGTGATTCAATATCTTACAGAAAATACACGATTATTCGTTGTTTACTTCTTGCTTCACATAGCGTACAGTACTTTTTAGAGTGAATCATGTGCTCACCAAACATGGTCTTCTGTATGTTCTTTGTGATCGATTGGGCCTTGATGCTTGACCCGTCTGAAAAATATATAACAATTTTGTTTTTGTTAGTGACAACGTGGGTAAATTTGTTTGAATGAAAACATTAGGGTGTTATTTAATTTGTGATGATTGACTATCATATAACAATACTGGTAGGCCTAGAAGAATATCTTCTTGATTCCTGGTAATTAAGTTTTAGCAATGAAACATTGCATAGGCCTAGGCCTTGTATTTACGTCAAGTGTGTTCATTTAACAAATGATTAGAGTATTAAGATGAACATAACATTTCCAGCTCATAATACAGTATCACTTTTATTTGAAAATTTAACACAATGATTTAATCATTTATTTAGTGATTAAACTACATACTGTGCTGTTGTAGAAAATTAAATTACGTTTAATAAAAAATAAAAAACAAAATTATAAATTAATTTAAAGTTCCATACTGAACTTGGGGGAATCAAAGCGGCCATGGGAGGCCACGCTAATAATATTGAGTGCTGAAAATGCTAGTTTGGTTAAGTATGACTGCGCATGCGTTGTTTCATTTACGTAAATATGTCGTTTACTGATTTGTTTACGACGACGTAAATATATCCACTTCCATTAAATAAAGTGTAGTATTTTATGCTTGAGAAACAGAAAACAGCTTTGAATTGTAATGCACTCCATCATGTGGGAATTCAATATTTTGACAATGACATTATGTTCTGGTGTATATGTGGACTCATATATGGACAGCCTAGGCCC